CTGAGGAGGGGTTGTGTCGGAGGTCCTGACATGGGCCCTCAGGGTGGCCAGGAGGGCGCCTCCTTCTCACTTCCCCCTCACCCCCAGAAATCCTTCCCAGCCGTGGAATGGGGAGGGCGAGAAGGCTAAAAATAATAATCCCTTAAAATAAAAAAGAGAGACAATGACAAGGATTGGTGAGGATGTAGAGAACTCGGAAGCGTCATGCACTGCTGGTGGGAATGTGAGATGGGCCGCCCGTTTTGAAAAACAGACGAGCAGTTCCTAAAAATGCTAACCACAGAGCTACCACAAGACGGAGCAGTTCCACTCCTAGGTAGATACCCAAGAGAACTGCAAACATACGTCCACACAAAAACCTGTACATGAGTGTTCATAGCAACATTATTCATAATAGCCAAAAAGTAGAAACAACCCAAATGTCCATCAGCTGATGAATGCATAAATCAAATGTGGTAGATCCATACAGTGGAATATTATTTGGCCATAAAAAGGAATGAAGTCCTGACACGTACTACAACATGGGTGAACCTTGAGAACATGCTGAGTGAAAGAAGCCAGTCACAAAAGTCCGCATATTACATAATTCCATTCATATGAAATGTTCAGAACAAGGAAATCTATTGAGACAGAAAGTAGATGAGTGGTTTCCAGGGGCTAGGGGGATTGGCAAATGGAGAGGGACTGCTAATGGGTATGGCGTGTTCTTCTGGGGGGATGAAATGTTCTAGAATTGCTGTTGTTGTTGCTAGATGATGTCAAGTCAAGGAGTCCCTGGGTGGTGCAAATGATTAAGCACTGGACTACTAACTAAAGGCTGGCAGTTCAAACCCACTTGAAGGCACTCTGGAAGAAATGCCTGGTGATTTGCTTCTGAAAGTTCACAGCCTTGAAAACCTATGGGGTGCACGGGTGATGTGGCCATATAGTGAAAGCTGTTATTTAAAAAGAAAAATTTTGTTAAATAGCTCCTGGTTATGAAGATCTTACCATACCAAGGGTGCACCTCATACAATCCCCCCTGCCAAGCCAGTGAAGGGGTGCTGTCAACACCCACTTTAACAGATGAGAGAGGCTCCGAGAGGGTGAGAGATTAGTCCCAGGCCCAGCCAGAGTGGGAAGGATGGGATTTGAACTCAAGTCTCCGACTGTATGACTCTCTGGACTCTGCACCATATTAGAGTGTGAGGACCCACCACCTGGATACCCCTTCTGTGCCAGGCAGGGCCATGGTGTGCCACTTGGTGCCATTCCACTCAAGCTCAACCACACAGAGAATGGTTACCACCGTGGAGAGATAAGGAATGGAGCCCCAAAGGGGTATGACTGGGGTCCCAGCCAGTGACTCAGACTATGTCCCAAGCCCCCATCTTTGTGCTCTTAGGCCAAAGTGGGCCCTCCTGACTTCGGCGACCCCAGTAACTTTGCCTGCCCACACCCGCTCTGCACTGGTCCTGTGCAGGTTTTATCCAGGTCAGTGTCTCTCCCATGAAGCTGTGAGCTCCTCCCAGGATCCTCCCCGACCAGCCTGAGGGCCTTGCTCCAGCCTTCACTGGGTGCCAGTCAGGAGCGGCAGGATACGCAAATGAATCAACAAGTGAGTGAATGGGCAAGTTCATTCATTGATTCAACAAATATTTTTTTATCAAGTGGCCACCATGGACCAAGCACTGTGCTAGGCCCCAGGGACACAGCTCTGATCAAAGTAGCACCGGCTTCCTGGCCTCCTGAAGCGAGTTCAAGGGAGGGGATGAAAGGGATCAAAGGAGAAGGCCACTCTCCCTAACACCCTAGTCCCTCCTCCCTCTGGCTGCTCATATTTCCTGTCTCCCATCACAACGTGACACTGCTGCCCAGACTGGGACCCCCAGCTCTGAATGCTGGCTGGGGCCTTAGTCACAGGTCACATGTGCAGGAGATGGCGCTGGGTCTAGAACCCCGGGGCCCAACTCCCCTCTGTAGATGCCCGGCTACTGCATTTAATCAAGTGAGCGCTGCTCCTTTTTCTGGACAGAGGAGTCTCGTGGCTTAGTGTGCGTGCGTGTTGCAGGGAGGAGTTACAGCAAAATGGGACCCCACAGCCTTGGGAAGAGTCCTAAAGATTGAAGAAATGAGGTCATGAGCAGGGGAATGAATGAAGCCCAGGATCAGAGCCCCCCTTTCTCCCCTCTTCCCGTGTCTATCGGGTCCCTAGACAGTGGATTTTTGTGCCCCATCTCTGGATCTTGAGGGCTTCATTCCAGCCTAGGGGCCCCTAAGGGCAGACGGAGAACCCAGGCAGCAGTAGGATGTTAACACCCCTGCTCACCCCTGCTGCTCACAAATGCAACTTCCTGCGGGAAGGATAGAGTGAGTGAGTGAATGAATGAATGATAAATGCTCCAGTTCTACAGAACACACTGCTGGACCAGAGAACCTGGATGTGCCCTTGGGCCCAGAGCCCTTGTGGGGAAAAACACTCAATCCTCCAATATCAACTCCTGGTGCCCGAAGAGAAGTCCCTGGGTGGTGCAAACAGTTAAGCGGTGGACTACTAACCGAAAGGTTGGTGGTTCAAACCCACCTAGGGGCACCTCAGAACAAAGGCCTGGAGATCTACTTCCAAAAGGCCATTGCCATGAAAACCCTATGGAGTAGTTCTGCTCTGCACACGTGGGGTCACCATGAGTTGGAATCAACCCCATGGCAATGGGGTTTTTGGTTTGGTTGCCCAAAGGCAGAGTTGTAGGAGAGGATGCTTGGCTGGGATCAGAAGGTGGTGGCCGGAGGGGGGACCCCAGAGTTCTGGGATCCAAGGCCCTGCATGGTGCGGAAGGGAGATGAGGGACTCAGGAAAGGTAAGGGGTAGGAGGGGAGCATGTCTCAGGGTTCCTGGCTCAGTATTGCCTCAAGCATCCCAGAATGCTTCTCTGAACTCAGCTCAGGCCTCTATGGTTGGGAGGGGGCACCCCTAACCCTGCAGAGCCCAGCCTAGCCCCCCAGGAACCAGACCTCCTCCTGGTCTCCTGCTCACCTGGGACTAGCCCAGGAGCTTGGGACCTGAGACCAGTTACCCCCCTGACCTGTCTCGGGGCCTCCTAACTCCTCACCCTGCTTCACTCACAGGGGTTTCCTGCAGCTAGGAATGGCCTTAGAATTCAGTGTGCACGAGAGAGGCAGTAGAGCATAGGGGGCGGTATACTGGAGCCGACAGGGTCCAAATCTCAGCTCCATCCGTATCTCACTCTGTGACCTTGGACGATTTTCTTAGCCTGTCTGGGCCTCAATTTCTCTTATTTGTAAAATGGAGATGACAGAATTACACATCTCACACAGATAGAATCGTGCCCCCGAAAAAGGTAGGCTGAAATCCTAATCCGTAATGCCTGTGAACGTGACCTAGTTTAGAAATAGAGTCTTTGAAGATGTTATCAGTTCACATGAGGTCATAGTGGAGTTTAAAAAAAAAGAAAAAGCTAAACTCATTGCCGTGGAGTTGATTCTGACTCGTACTGGGTGCAAGCCGCAATCCAGCCTGAGTGGTGTCTGTATAAAAGAGACACAGAGACAGAGAGGAAAGACGGCCATGTGGAGATGCGTTAGATGCCATGGAACGCCTGGGCTACCAGACGCTGAGACAGACGAGATAGGGTCTCCCTCCAGAGTCTTCAAAGAGATCATGGCCCTGACACCCTGAATTCAAACGGTGAAACTGAGAGCCAGCTCTCGACGGGGCCGCCTCAGTTGTCCTGGTCTCTCAAGTTTTCCGCCTTTGACAGGGTGCGGTGTTATTTTCTATCGTTCTCCGTTACTGGAAAATATTTGAGTTTTCCTTCTCTGATAGATTTCTGCCTTGCACAGCTTTTACTGTACTAGCCTCCAGAACTGAGACAATACATTTCTGGTGTTTAAAGCCACCCAGTTTGTAGTATTTTGTTACGGCAGATGTAGAAAATTAATCCAAGGACTGCCTTAGTATTTGTAAAGTATCTAGCACCACACCGGTACATAGTCCATGCTAGTAAGTGCTAACCACCTTCGTTATTGCCCACGGACCCCACACTCTCCTGGTTAAACCCAGTGACTTACAGAGCCCATGACGTGTTCTGGCTTCCTACACCCTTTCTCACACCTTCCTGTGTACTCTGGGAAACAGCCCGCGCTGAAAGGGAGACATAACACTCAGAGAGGGGATGTGCCTGCCCCAAGGTCACGCAGCTGGTAGAATTTGACCTCAACTGCGCAGGATCTGCTGCTGCTGCCCTATTCTGTCTGTGATGCTCACCCTGCTGTCTTTGGGCCCCACAGCCCCATCCAGACCCCTCTCCCTCATTCCTAGACTGTGGCAAGGAGAAGGGACAGAAGGAGGCTGTAGCAGCCACTTGAGCCCTGCACTCTCCTGTTTAAAAACCAGGATGTTCAATTGTTCAGTCAACAAACACGCATCAAGCCCGCCCCGTGCCCGCCCTGCCCTGGGCGCCAAGGACACAGGTGAAGCAGAATCCTCCAGTGTGGTGGGAGGCAGAGCCCAGCGGGCACAAGCACAGTGGGGGTGCAAGGGGGCCGCAGGTTACTCCAGAGGTTGGAGAGCAGGGGGGCTTCTTGAAGGAGGTGACCTTTGAGCTGACTGCGCTTCGTAGTATGAGCCAGAGTGGCTCCCCGGGGGCACTGGCCGCCCTCCATCCTCGCCTTGCTGTCAGGGGCCTGTGGCTCCCATAGCCCCCAGCCTTCTTTCACTGCATATACTGTCATTGTCCACTTAGGATCAGTCTCCCCTGTCTCCTTATCCCCAGCATTGCCCAGGACAGGCGAGCAGAGACTGGTGAATAAAGGAAAAGGGGTGGGTGGGCGACAGGAACGCAGGCAGAGGGCCATGTGGAGACAAAAGCTGAGGCCTGAGGAGCCTGGCGTCAATGGCCTCCTGTTCCGGGTCCACCTCCCCCACAGGTGGGTGGTCCCTCTGTGGTTCTCCAGCCCCACCCCCTGCCTACCCTTCAGCTTGGTTTCCACAACTTCCTGCTCCCACCACTCCTGGCTGAACCACCATGTCGCCAACTGCCCACCTCTCCTGCCTGTGGGCTCTGCTGGTGGCCTGCCTGGCCCACAGCATCAGGGGGTCCCTCAGGGCCCAGGTAAGTACCCTACCCGGCTCCCCCTTCCTGTCCCTCTGCTACTCCATGCCTGGGGTGCACCCCTTCCCAGAAACAACTGGCTTGTCATTCCCATTTCTCAGAGGGAGCAACAGAGGCTAGAAGGGGGTTGACATGGCCAAGCTCACACGAGGAGACAGAGCAGGCTAACTGGCGACCCCCTAGCCCAGTCCTTGTGTGGCTGGAGCCAAGGTGGGGGCCCAAAACGGACCCCACCATACCCCCTCGGTCCTTGGTCCCTTGCCAGGCCCCAGGTCCCCAGCCACTGGAGCTGAAAGAGGTCTTCACGTTGTTCCAGATCCAGTACAACCGGAGTTACTCAAGCCCATCAGGTAACACTGGGCAGGTGTATCAGTCCAGCCCCCTCCTCGCATTTAACAGATGAGGAAACTGAGGCATCACGTGGGAAATGCGCTTGGCCAAGGCCACTCAGCAGGACAGCAGCAGGGCTGGGGTGGATCCCTGGTTTCCCGTCTGCATGCATGGAACCTGGGGGGCAGGTGGCAGCTGTTGGAGTCTGCCCCAGTCCTAGCAGCCCAGTGCAGGTCAGGGGTCAAGGCTGCAGGGCAGGGAAAGCACCGCAGGAAGGAGCTTGACCTCTCTCTAGCCTATTTCCTTGCCTTTCTGCCTCCCCAGCTCCATCCCTGTGACTCTGGGAAGTGGGCAGGAGACCAGGTCTATTCATGTGTTCACTCAGCCGATACTCAAGGGTTCCCATTTGGTCCCTAAGCTGGGGCCTCCCTCTCCAAGAGCAGCCAGCCCTCCCCTCCCCCCAGGCTGGGTCTCATCTCCCACAGAGGGTGGTTTGTGGGGGCTTTCAGCTGAGGCTGCCTGCCATGGGTCTGTGCTGCCCCCCCACCACCCTGCTAGATCTGTGTGGTCAGAGGTGTGAAGAGCAGTATGACAGGAAGCCAGTCTCAGCCACCTACCTTTTCCTTTTGAGTCACTCTGTCCAGACTCTTTGCTTGGTTTACCCCCAGGGTGGGCAGAGAAGCCCCCCTTACTGCCTCCTCGGAAAAGCTAACCTTGGGGAGCTGGGCAGCCACTTCCTGGGCTCACGGGTCTGCAGCAAAGCCTGCGGGGCTACAAGAGAGGAGCCAGCGCTCATCTGGGCGGGGGTGGGGTGAGGATGCCCAGTCCATGTCCACTTCCTGCCCTGGGGGTCTGGGAGCCAGCCTAGGACAACCCCCTTTGACCCAGAGCACGCCCGCCGCCTGCACATATTTGCCCGGAACCTGGACCAGGCTCAGCAGCTGCAGGAGGAGGACTTGGGCACAGCCAAGTTTGGGGTGACCCCATTCAGTGACCTCACAGGTACCAGAACCCCTCCTGGGCCCTAGGTGGTGGGTGAGAAAGCAGTCTTCTGCAGGGATAGTGGCAGATGGCAGGGCAGATTGTGGGCTTCCATTCCCAGCAAAGGACCCTGAAGGTCAGACCAGGTGCTTAATCACATCAGGGTCCAGTGGTGGCGCAGGGGAAGGAGCTCAGGGCCCAGCACCTACAGCGCAGGTCAGGGACCAAGGCCGCAGGGCAAGGAAAGCACCGCAGGAAGGAGCCTGGCCTCTCTCTAACCTGTTTCCTTGCCTTTCTGCCTCCCAGGGTTATGGGGCCCAAGTGGTCAAGGATGTGGATGGCTGCAGTGGGACAGGCAGGACTTGGGGGAGGGCTGGTTGAAACTGTGGCCTCAAGTGGCCCTGTTGGTCCCCAGAGGAGGAGTTTGCCCAGGTCTATGGGCATCAGGAAGCGCCTGGAAGGGTCCCCAACGTGAGCAGCAAGGTAGTGCCTGAGGAGTGGGGCAAGTCAGTGCCCTCCACTTGTGACTGGCGGAAGTGGGCTGAGGTCACCAAAACCGTCAGGAACCAGGTATCTGCCCCTCCCCAGCCGGGCCCAATCCAGCCCCCGTGGTGGGAGGGAGAGAAGGGGACTAGGCCCAGGCACCTGTCCCCCTACCCCTACCCTCTTATCCACCAGAATAACTGCAAATGCTGCTGGGCCATGGCCGCGGCAGGCAACATTGAGGCCCTGTGGGGCATCAAGCACCGTCAGTCCGTGGAAGTCTCCGTGCAGGGTACGGCTGGGAGAGGCGGGCTGGGTGTCTGACGGGGAGGAGGGTACCGGGGACCTGGCCACCCAGGCTGTTCCTTCTATCCCCAGAGCTACTTGACTGTAACCGCTGCGGGAACGGCTGCAATGGTGGCTTTGTCTGGGATGCGTTCATAACTGTCCTCAACAACAGTGAGTACCCCGCCTCTCCGGGCAACTGCAGGGGGCGGCATGGGGATGAGAGGGCCTAGGGTGCAAGAGCTACAGCAAGGGTGGGGGGATGTTTGGGAGCCTTGTCTCCACCTTGTCTTGCTTCTCTCTTCCCCAGGCGGCCTGGCCAGCGAAAAGGACTACCCATTCCGGGGGGACGACAAAGCCCAAAAGTGCCAGGCCAAAAAGCACAAAAATGTGGCCTGGATCCAGGATTTCATCATGTTGATGGACAATGAGCAGGGTGAGGGCAGGGTGGGGACACGGAAGGGGGGATGACAGGACAGAGCGTGCTAGAGATGGGAGGACGGAGAGAGGCGAACAGAAGCCCCCAGCACGCTCTCAGCCCATGTGCCCAGAGCAGGGCCTCAGGGCAGGCAGGGCCTGATCCCACCTTCCACTCCCCAGCAATCGCCTCGCACCTGGCCACCCACGGCCCCATCACCGTGACCATCAACATGAAGCTACTGCAGGTGGGATGGGGCAGGGAATGGGGGGGGGCACACACAGGAGGGTTGCCCCAAACTCAGCCCCTCTGCCCCCGCCCCCCGCAGCATTACCAGGAGGGTGTGATCAGGGCCACACCCACCACCTGTAACCCCAATCTTGTGGACCACTCTGTCCTGCTGATGGGCTTTGGCAAGACCAAGTCGGTGGCAAGGATGCCAGCAGAGGCGTCCCAGGGTGGAGCCCTGACTCGTCCTCGTCGCTCCACCCCATACTGGATCCTGAAGAACTCCTGGGGGCCCAAATGGGGCGAGAAGGTGGGTGTGCACTCCAGTGCGGGTGGGGCAGGCCAGGCCCCTCCTCACCTTCCAGCCCTGATGCCCACTAATTCCTAAGGGCTATTTCCGGATGCACCGAGGAAGCAATGCCTGCGGTATCACCAAGTACCCGCTCACGGCGCGTGTAGACAAACCAGCTAAGCAGCTCTCCGTCTCCTGCCCTCCCTGAGCCCGCCCGGCCACTCCCTCAGCCCGCCCGGCCACTCCTCAGCCCTCTCCCGCGGTGCCAGCTGCCTCCTCACTGTCGAGGTTTTTGCCCACCTTCCCGATTTGCTGCCTGTGGCCTGAATAAACTAAGACAAGACCCCCAGCTTCTAAGAGGACTTAGTTGGCCTGGGGGGATGGTGGATGAGAACGCACCACTCCCTTCCTGCCATTTCCCCGTCTCCGTGGGGCCGACGTACACACGTCCTTACACACACACACCCCGACACTCAGAGACGTGCCCGTGCACACACTCACGTGTGGACCCACGTGTGCTCCCACACAGGCTCCCCCTGGAGTAAGAATCAGTCTCCAAACTCGCGGCAACTTTATTGTCAGTGTGGGCAGGGCGGTGGAGGGGGCCTCAGTCATGGTACAGGCGCAGGAGGCAGCCCCGGAGAGTGCCCATGTAGCGGTCCCAGAGAGCCTGGTACCTGGAACAATACCAGCAACAGTGACAGCAAGGGCGGATGTTTCCTGAACACTCACCAGGTGAGGCCCCGCTCTAAGCTATTCGTGTCCCTTAACTCGTTTACTCCTCAAAGAGTCCTCACGAGATAGGTATAAGCATCAACCCCAATTTTACACACTAGGAAACGGAGGCAGAGAGATTAAGTAACCGGCCCAAGGTCACACAGCTCTGGACTCTGGTCCACAGAGAGAACACTCCAACTCCAGGGTGGCAGGGCGAGGAACCCCAAGTCTACAGGAGGGTAGCCTTGGCAGGTGGCTGGCTGGCGAGGCCACACTGGTGGGAGGGCCAGAGTCTCTTACCGGAAGCCATCCAGGGAGTGGACGGACGCCGAATACTGATTCAGGAAGAGCCGCACATCACTCAGTGGCCAGTGGTCAGAGCGGCAGGGTTCCACAAACTGGGGGCCCAAGGGGAACAACTAGCATATAGTAGAGCCCAGGGACAGGCCAGGTTGGGGCTCAGAGGGCAGCGGCAGGACGGCTCACCTTCTCCACCAGGTCCACAAACAGGTCTCGGACATCCTTATTGTGGGTCAGCTTGGCAGCCACGTTCACCAGCCCCCGGGACAGGTTCTGTGGGGCAGGGATCCTGGGAGTTCTGCCTTCTGCCCCAAAGGCTGGAGGCTGAGCCCAGAGGCTGGGGGAGGGACAGGCCCCTCCCTGAATCTATCCACTTCCCTCAGTCAACCAACTACCCCCCTCAAAAGGCCTGCAGAGAGAGTAGCAGCACCACCCACCCGTCACTCTCGGGCATGACCAGAGTTGGCCAGTGGGGATGATGCACTTGGGACTGAAGACGCCCAAGGGGCGGAGGCTGGACTGGGCCACAGACCTTGAAGTTGGCTTCCATTTCAGAGAAGACGCCAAGCTTTCCCCGGAGGGCAGTGCACACCAGGCTGCAGGGAGACAGGGTCAGCCCCCAAGTCCCCGTTTGAGGCCCCGCCCTGTGGACCCCCCAAGCTCACCTCTTGTGCAGGTCCAGAAGGTCCTTGTCGGCCACTAGCACCTTGAGCTCCTTCAAGTCCTGGAGAAACTCCTTGTCTAAGTCCACATCCATGTCGTCCACCTGGGAGTCTGCGCGGGGCCCACGAGAGGAGTTGGGGTGGGTGATACAACCCCTCCCACGATGTCCGAGCCTTCCTCACCCACCACCTCACTGTGCCCACGGGACAAAGAGGAAATGGGAGTCTCAGAGAGGTGGGCTGACTTGCCCCGGGCCACACAGAGAAGCAATGGGCCCTCCGCAGATAAGAGGTGTGCGGGGCAACTGGACTATAGGTAGAGGTGGCCTGTGCGACTCTGCAGAAACGATGCTGGGAACTGGGGCCATCAGGGGAAACCACCGGTGGGAACCAGGCCCTGAGAGGGTGGGGAGGGGCCTGAGCGCCTGGCATCTCAGCGGGGGGCCTCACCAACAGCTCCGAGGGTCCAGTTCTGGATCATGAGTTCAGCACAGAAGGCAAAGTCGCCAAAGCTCAGATACTGCAGTTTCTTCTTCCCAGTCTCAAAGCGGTTGTTGGCAAAGAAGACAATGGCTGCGTAGTCCCTGCAGAGAGGGGAGAGCAGGTCCTCTCAGGGCCCGAGTTTCCTTCTTAGCAGGCCACTCCCCACCTGCAACTCTGGCCGGACTGCCGAGCTCTGGTCCCTCTCCGCCCTAACTCACTGTGTGACCTGTCTCAAGTCACTTCTCTTTGGACCTCGTCTCCTCGTCTGTGCAGAGGGAAGGTCTCTGCAGGGACACAGCAGAGATCACAAGGACAACGGCCACCGTTCACTGAGCGCTTTCTAAGTGCTTTAGACGCGGTGTCTCGCTTCACCTTCACAACAGCCCAGCTGGCCAACGGCCAGGCTGGATTCAAACCCAGGTCAGTCCGGTCCAAAGTACAGACCAAAAGTGGGGTAATCATACCCCCAGCACAGCTGGGAGGTCGGTGGGGCTGCGACGGGGTGGGGAAGGAGGGCCACCCTCAAGGCCCAGGGAATGAGTGTGCAAGAAGGGGGATGGCTGGCTTCTCACCTGGCCCCTCACCTGGCCAGCCGGTCGGAGAGGAGGAAGTGCTGCTGGATGTTGTCAACCAGGGAGCCCCGCATTTCCTCTACCACTTTGAAGACTCGCTTAAAGTTGTCAAACTGCAGGGCAGTTAGGCGAGGAAGGAGGACCAGTCAGAGGCGCTCACCCAATAAACTGTTTACTGAACATCCATCTATCACTTAACCACCCAGCCTGGCAACAAATGCTGACTTAGCACCTCTTATCCTGACAACTTAGTGTCTCGTATCAATTCAACACGCAGTACCTGGGTGGTGCAAACGGTTAAGCACTCAATTAAAGGTTGGTCGTTCAAACCCACCCAGAGGCACCCTGGAAGACAGGCCTGTCGATCTGCTTCTGAAAGGTCACAGCCTTGGAAACTCTATGGAGCAGTTCTACTCTGCATACATGGCATTGCCACGAGCTGAAATCAATTTGATGGCAACTAATAACAACATCAATTCAACAAATGTTTATTAGCTTCTGCCATCTCGCCTTGGATAACCGTTTCATCACTCCTCTCTCTAAATTCAACCCTAATCCCCCAGGAGCCTGTGCTGGAACTGACCCGGCTGGCTAAGCTCCAAGGGCCCAAAGACAAACAGTGCTAAGCTGTCCTCAGGGAGCTCACAGGAGACACAGAGTAAAGACACTAAGGGTCAAGAGGATGGGTTACTTCTCCCTGGTACCACCAGGAAGACCTGTGGAGGAGGTGGCATCAGACCAGACCCCCTGCTTTGGATTTCAAGGAGTAGATATAGCCAAGAACAGTGGCCTCCAGCGAGAAGGAGCAGCATGATAAAAAGAAAGCCTCGGATGTAGGGAAATGTAGAGAGGTCAGCAGGAACCAGATCATGGAGATACTAAAGGTCAAGGCCAAGGAGTGTGGCTGTTATTCAGGAGGCAGTAGGAGCCAATGAATGTTTAAGAGCAGGAGAAAGTCATGATCAGATCTGGGCTTCTGAAAGGTCACTCTGGCCAAAGTAGGGGATAGCTTAGAAGGGACAAGATGTGGAGAGAAGACTGGGTGTGAAGCTGTTGGCACATTTGTGGGGGTTGGCAGTGGTCAAAGGGATGGATGGAGTGAAGGGGCAGACTGCAGATTGAATGTTGGGGGGGCGGGGGTGAATGCCCACCTGTCTCCGACAGCTCTTGAGGGTGATGCCTGTTTTGGTGCTGATGTCGTCTAGGTCTTTCTTGGTGCCCTTGGACAGCTTCTTGCCCAGCACCTCCCGCACAAAGGCCTCGTCAAAGGTGTAGTACCTGTGTGGAAGCACGGAGGAGAGAACACACTGAACCTCCACAAACAAGGAGAACGGGGGTCCTGGCAGGATCCGGGTTCTGACTCCCTCTGTTCCCAACTTTCTGAGTGCCTGGGTAAGTCCCGTCCCCTCCCAGGACCTCAGTTTCGGCCAGAGAAATGGGTACACGGTTACCCTAGCTGCAGCGTCCCCACCACCCCGCCAGGTAAGCACCTCTCGATGAGCAGGGCCTGCCGGGAGGGAGGGATCTGGAAGATGAGCTGGTGCAGCAGCTTGGGCGGCGCGTGCAGCAGGCGCTCAAGCATGTGGAAGGTGCGGTAGTGGTCCATGGTGTCGCTCTGCAGCACCGCCGCCGTGGCGCCCGTCTGCTCCAGGATCCCCGAGCGCACCCGCAAGGCCACCGCGTCGCTCACTGGGGAGTGGGCGCCGGCATCAGGCCCCGCCTCGCCGACCCCAGGGGCCCTCCGGGGATCGCAATTCCAATCTCTAGACACCTCTTACCCCCAGCCCCCTGCCCACTTTCCGAAGGGATGCCTAAGTCCTGGCCCCGCCCTTTGCCCCGGCCAAAACAACCGCGGCGCCGGAAGGGACCCCCAGGCGGCCACACACACAGACCCGAGTAGCCATCCAGCCAGAGGCGATACACGTCTTCGTCAATGAGGGTCGTGTTCCCCACGAAGATGTCCAGCTCGCTGGTCATGGTGACGCCCAGGACCGAGCGCCGCTGCAGCACCCCAAGCAGGAGCGAGCACCGCCCGCTCCGGGCGAGCTGCCGCCGAACCACTTCCGGGAGCGCCGAGATTCCGCTCCGGGCACCCGGAGCCAGCGAAGGACCACTTCCGGGACAGACCCGGCGGGGGCGGGGGCGGGGGCGGTGGAGTCACTCCTCCTGCCAGGGGGAGGGGGAATACCTGGCTCCTCCGTCCCCCGCATCCCCGCCGCCTGGGCTTTTAGCGGAGGGCGATCGAGTCGAGGTCTGCGGCCAACCTTCCCTGCTCCAGCCTCTCTGCCCTCACTCCCTCCTGGTTTTTCTGCCACCTTCTCTGATCTCTTCGGGGCCTCCCACTTTGAGCTATCTGCTAAACTTAGGAGTCTCCCGGGGCTCGACCCTAAATCTCTCCTCCGCAAAAAAGGTGTATGGCTAGATTTCCACGGACCCTTGCTAGGGCCCCCTCCGCTCATCCTGAGAACGAGCACCTCTTCTGAGTCATTTCACCTGCTCCCGGGGTTTTAACCACTCCCACAAGCTAGTGACCTCTCTGATTCTGCAGCTCAGAGCTCTGCCAGGAAGTCCACATCCGGAGGGCCACCTTCCCCAAATCCCCCCAAGTTCAACAAATTCTAGACAGACCTCCCCAATCAGTTTCTGCCCTGCATCCCTATCTCAGTGACAGCCCCAACATCCACCCAATTCTCATACCAGAAAGCTGAACGTTCTCCCAGACTCCTCTCTCCCCACATTCAGTTATGCTGATTTTACCTCCTGGATACTTCTAGTATCTGATTCCTCCTCTCCACCCCCGCTGGCACTGCCCCAGCCCAGACCTGCATAGCTTTCCTTGCCCATGGCCACAGTATTCTTACTAATCTCCCTGCCTACACCTCTCCTCCCCACCCATCCCACACAGAGCAGCCTGAACCAATGCACATTTGATTGTGTTACTCCCCTGCTTAAAATCCTTGCTGGTCCGTGGAAACTTCCCAGCCTGGTGTTGACAGCCCTTTAGAATCTGGCTTCCGGCTACCTTTGTAATCTCTTCACTCTCGCTCCACTTTCTCCATGCACCTACCTTTAAAAACACATCAAACTACCCTCACGGTTCCTAAAACAGCTAGGCCCTTTCAGGCACCAGTGCCTTTCACCGTGCCGTGAGTCAGCGGAAGACACTTTCCCTGAAATAATCCTTTCTTTACTTGGCCAAGTCCTATGCATCTTTCAGCCCCTCTCCTATCACCTCTTAGGAAATCTTTCTGGCAGCCCTTAAGACCGCCCCCCCCCCCATCTTCTTCTTGTTTAACCCAGCCTGTTTGTCAAATTGCGACTTCTTTGAGAACAGGATTAGGATATTGGTCAAGTTTGTTTCTGCATGGGCCTGGTACACACTAAACGTTTACTGAACAAACGAATCCCTTGTATGCCCCTCCCCCGGGCAGGAAACACTCCGTGGGAGGGAAGGTACGCTGACCGGTAGCCAGGACGTTTAGACTCGGGGTTCTGAGGAGCTGGGAGCGATGTTCAGGGAGCCGAGACTCTCGAGTTCGAACTAAGCTATGTGGGATGGGAAGGCGATCAGTTTGCGTTCCGTCCCGGAGTGGGCAGGAGAGTCGGGGGCCGACGCCCGAGTCTTGGTTCTCCAGAAGGAGTCAAGAGACCTAGGCTCGTGATTGAGGAGGTCCGGAACTGAGAGGTACGAAGCGTCTGGCTTCGGACTGACACTGGCGCGGAGGACGAGAACGCGGGGGCTCAGGGTCCGGGAAGAGTCAGGGCCATCGTGGTCTGGAGTGGGCGGGGGAGGGGCCTCTGTGCTAGGCCCGCCCCTTTCCGGAGCTGCTTTCTCGGATTGGCTGTCCGCCCGTGACGTCACCCGGCCCCGCCCCGGCGCGCTCCCTGCCGCGTGCCCACCCCCGGGTAGCAGCGACAGCCTTGCTATCTCGGTCACTGCTAGCCGCCCGCGAGCCGGAGCCGGAGCCCTAGCGGCGCTGGGCCGACGTGGGGCTCCTGGGCGGCGGCGGCGGCGGGCGATGCTCCAGTGGTCTAAGCAGCAATGGAGGCCGAGGCAGGCGGCCTGGAGGAGCTGACGGACGAGGAGATGGCGGCGCTGGGCAAGGAGGAGCTGGTGCGGCGCCTGCGGCGGGAGGAGGCGGCGCGCCTGGCGGCGCTGGTGCAGCGCGGCCGCCTCATGCAGGAGGTGAATCGGCAGCTGCAGGGCCACCTGGGCGAGATCCGCGAGCTCAAGCAGCTCAACCGGCGCCTGCAGGCTGAGAACCGCGAGCTGCGAGACCTCTGCTGCTTTCTGGACTCGGAGCGCCAGCGCGGAAGGCGCGCCGCGCGCCAGTGGCAGCTCTTCGGGACCCAGGCGTCCCGGGCGGTGCGCGAGGACCTGGGCGGCTGCTGGCAGAAGCTGGCCGAGCTGGAGGGCCGCCAGGAGGAGCTGCTGCGGGAGAACCTGGCACTTAAGGAGCTCTGCCTCGCGCTGGGCGAGGAGTGGGGCCCCCGCGGCGGCACCGGCGGCGCGGGGGGCTCTGGCCCCGGGCCGACCCCGGAGCTCACCCTGCCCCCCTGCGGGCCCCGCGACCTGGGCGATGGAAGCTCCAGCACAGGCAGCGTGGGCAGCCCCGATCAGTTGCCCCTGGCCTGCTCCCCTGATGACTGAGGGCGCTGCTTCCTAGGCACCGGCGCCCTCCCGGATTGCGCCCCGAGCGCCACGATTGCGGTGGACCTCGGGACCGGAGCGCCGCCCCGGCTTCGCCCGAGGGGCGGCCTGCATGGACTGAGAAACCCTGACACTGAAGAGAACCGCTCGCTTTCGCTGGTGGAGCGCAGGGAGGCTGAAACGGAGGGACTTGCTGGGGGCTGGGTGGGGGCTAATAAACTGGGATGGAAGCGGAGCCCGCGGCCTGAGCAGCGTCTGTTTGGGACTCGCCGGGGTTGGGACGAGGGCAGGGGTGTTGAGACGGGGTCCCATTCCCCTCCGGAGGGGCTGCAGAGCTAAGGTGGCTGAATCCCCCTTCACCTCGAGGCTGGGGTGGGATAGGGGACCGTGGTAGGCCCCTGACTCCCCTTGTGGGGCTGTGGGACAGGCCATGATCCAGGCCCTGATGTGACTTCCCGGCTCCTTCCTGTCCAAGACAATGGGGCAGGAAGCAGGTGTTGGGGGCCTGGAACTCAGTGCGCCTCCCCTGAGGCTGGAAGGGGCATACCATCGCTCCCCTGTGGGCCCTCCCCTGGAGGAGGAGCAGGAGGAGGGTACCCTCTTCACTTGCATCCTTGAGCACTCTTCTCTCCAATCCAGGAGATAAGGCAGAGCAGATGTAGCCCCATTTGTCAGATAAGACGTCCAAGTTCAGAGATATCAAAGAATTTGTCCAAGGTCAGGCAGTGAGTGGGTGAATTTGACACTGGAGTCTAGGGCTTCTGGCTTCAAATGTTCCCTCTTTAGCCTCGGGGTCCAATGAAACACCCAGACCAGAGCTTCAAGCCTTTTTATTCCATCTGACAGGTTTGTACAAAAATACTCTCTTTAGGAAAATAAATAGCAGCTGCCCTTGCTGGGTAGGCTTGGATTCCCTGGAGCTAAAGGCATCTCAGAGCTGGGGGCTGCAGGTCAGCTCATCACAGAAGCCTCTGACGCCCTCCTGGCCCGTGCCATTTTGGAGGGGCCTGCAGGATGCCCTGGTCCAATTAGCTGGTGCTGCTGGCAGTGGGGCTGAGTGAGTTAGTGTTCTAGGCTGGTAGAGCGGCACCTTCTGTCAGGGAGTAGGGCTGGGTGGATGACAGGAAGAGGGTGATGTAGACTATGGGGGTGGATCTGGAAGAGGTTAGGGCTCCAGAGGCCCTCAAAGGCTCTACAAAGACCTTTTGGGCTGCCAGGAGGCCTCTGGCACAAGCGGGAAATAGTTTGTCTCTCATGTAGTGCAAATTGTGCTAGAGGGGCCAGCTGGTGAGAAACAGTGGGCAGCGCTGGTGGCCCCAAGCTGGCTCCACCATGAAGCAAAATATGCTTAGTCTCATTTGAAGGGCTGGAAAAGAGCCTGCTGGGGTTGGGAGCAGACTATGGTCCAGACCAGCTGGACCACTGGGGGTCGGGGTGTTGGCTAGAGTGACACCCGCAGGGCGGGGGCTGGAGCACCTCACAAAGCAAGGAGGGTGGGGGAGCCGAGAGGGTCAGAGGGCAGGTCCCCGCTGCTGCTGCTACTCCTGCGATGGGCCGAGGCACAGGGCTCCGGGGTGCTGGGGTAGGTGAAGACCAGGCTCGGGGTGAATGGGGTCAGGGAGGGTGTGGTCATGAGCGTGGGGGTGTGCAGCGCCTCAGGTTCAAGCACAGGCCCTGGGGAAAGGGAGATACAAGGCACAGGGCGGGCGGGGGCAGGCAGGCTGCTGGTACCGCCTGTGCCGCTCGTGTCCTCTGTGCCACTCTCGGCCCCTTCTGGGATTTTGCAGATGGGGCGGTGGGCTTCCAGCACCAGCTCCAGGCGCTCCTTCTGCTTCTGGAGCTCGTCAATCTCTCGCTGCAGCTCAGACTTCTCATCCTCCAGTTTGTCCGTCTCCTGTAAAGGGTCACGAAAAGAGTCAGGAAGATGAGGGCTGAATACCCGGCAGCCTAGGAGGGTGGGGTGGGGGTAGTAGGGAGACCACGTGTAATGCTGGACTACAACTCCCATGAGCCCCTAGGAAAAAAAAATGGACACGGCTCCCATCAGGCCTGGGGGCGTCTTAGAAGGAGCTAGTCTGCAAGAGCTCTGCTCCGAACCCAGCCCTCCTTTTGCGTTTAGGAAAGAGTCAGGGAGGGCAAATGATTTGCCTCGGTTACAGAGTGAGATGCGCTGCAACTAATTTTTAATCGCTTTTTCTTCGTCCTTTTTCCAGAAGGGTTCCCCCTCCGTTAGGGACTCAGGCGCCCCTGGTGCCCGCGGGGTCCCCCTAAGGCTTGGGGGGCCGGGGCTCACAGCCTGCAGGAAGTCGGTCAGTTCCTTCCTGCGGTTCCGGCATTTGGCAGCGGCTAGCTTGTTCCGTTCGCGTCTCACTCGGCGGCGCTCCTCCTCCTCGGGGCTGATCTGGGGGGCAGAGGCTCGAAGGGTCAAAGGTGAGGCACCACTGCCACAGGCTACCCACCACCCCATGGTGGCCCAGGGGTAAACCCCTGGCGGAAGGCACAGTTTAGAGACCATAGCACCCCAACCGACTTTCCGCACTCACGCTCTGGACAGCCTGGAAAAGTCAGATTTCCTCTTGGCACCCAGCCTCTGCCTCCTAAGGTTCCTCACACCAAGTGCCCTCCCTTTCCACAAAACTTAAACCTCCTTATTGTCCAGGACTCAGCTAAAATGCCCCCGCCTCCAGGAAGCCTTCTGTTATCCCTCAGCCAGAAGTGGCCTTTGCTCCTCTGAGACCTGGGACCAGCCCCGCCCCCCCTTTCTACAGGACCCTCATCCTTCCATCTCTTGATGACCAAGTGGCCTCTTCCCCATAGGACTGTGAAAACTAGGAGGGGCTAGTGAGTACTTTGGAATAAGTTGTAATTTATTAACAGCCTACTATAACGCCAAAGGAGCCCTGGTGGCCCAGTGGTTAAAGAGCTCAGCTGCTAATCCAAAGATCGGTGGTTCTGACCCACCCGGCAGCTCCACAGGAGAAAAGACCCGGTGATCTGCTCCCGTAAAGATTTACAGCCTAGGAAACCCTAAAGGGCAGTTCTACCCTGTCATATTCTGAATCACTATGAGTTGGAATCAACTCAGGGGCGCACAACAAAAACAGCTTTGTGCCAGCTAAGCGCTTCACATGATTCTTAACCCCACTTTCCATGTGAGGAACTGAAGCTCAGGGAGGATGAATCCCTGGTTAAGGTCCCAGAGCAGGAATTAGAATCCACTACCTCTATTGACATTGGCCAGCAGAGGGAGACCACCTCCCCACAAAGGACCCACTCACAGCCCCAACCTGGGACCTGGGAGGACCCAGAATCAAAGTGCCACCCTTAGGACAGGGCTGGAGTCCAGGAGGGGGTTACCCCTGGCTTGCCTGTGTCTGGGGCTCTCACTACAATCCCCTGCTCCAGTTGGTCATGAAGGCCATCCATTCTGCTTCTGGGAAAACCACCCCTGGCCCATCTCCCATCTTTCCCAGGACCCCATCCTCCCCATCCTCTACCCTGCTGTTGGAGCAAGCTTTTTAACATGCAAACCTCATCCAACTGTCGTCTCACAGATCAAAACACTCCAGGGAGAGGAGGAGGAAAGCCCCATATCTTACTTATTATCCCTTAAGCCCCGCTATCTCTCATTTATTTATTTTGGTAAGGACTTTATTTGAGCCGTGCAAGGGCAGGAGCCCTGGCTGGGGAGGCAAGAGTCCCCAGATCGTGCTGCTTCAAGCCTCCTGGCAGCTTCTGGTGAAACAATGTGGCCGAGTGCTTAGAAGCTGATTCTAGGATTGGATACTCCCAGGTTCATTACTTGTGTGATCTGGGGCAAGTAACTTTACTACTCCTTGGTGCCTTTGTTTTCTCAGCTGTAAAACGGGGATAGTCAGAGTACATTCCCCAGAGGGTTTTTGTGAGGATTAAATGAGACAGGGAAACGGAGACCCAGAGAGTAGCTGAAGGGAATCCTATCTTTCCTGTCCTCTCCCCAGCTGTGCAGAGCCGTGGACAGCATCAAGCCACTCCCCTGCACATGTCAGCGGGTGGAGGACTTCTGTCCACTTGCCTTTTCATGTTCACGCCTGCACCTCCACCTCCATTCCTTGCACCTGCCACTCCCTCCACTGGGAACTTCATCTTTCCTTCATCTCTGCTTTTGCAAATCCTACCCTGGGATTTAACATCCTTCTAGGCTAATATGCCCCCACCTCCAGGAAGCTTTCCCTGATCCAGAAGCCATCTCCTTGCCCTCTGGGTCTCTCCAAGGGCTCCAATCACTTTCTGTCTTGGGCAACAGTTGCCAGTAACCCTGCCTTCCCCTCTTCTAAGCCTGTGCTCTCCTTCCTGGCAGGAGCTTCCTCTCAGCACCCTAGCAGCCCTACGGGGATCAGAACCAGGGCCAGGCCTCTGCTCCTTACCTGGTCACAGGGCCGGCGCCGCCCTCCCGGAGGTAGCCCCAGGGCTCGGATGACACCTGGTCGGGGCTGCTGGGGGCTGAACTGGGGGTAGCCCAGAGGCCTGGGATAGCCGCTGGGCGCCAGGAGACGAGGCTGTACCATCCACTGCAGCTCCTGGCTGCCGCTCACGGTGTTGAGGCTCGGCGCGAGGTGGAACTTCTGCAAGACAAGAAGTACAGGGCCAGGGATGAGTTCTCTGTAGATTGAGGGGCACCTAGTGGACAAAGACCACACTGCCATCCATCCCCAAAGCAGCTGCTGGTTCTGGGAGACCAGAAAGAGTGCAGCTTGGCAGTCAGACAGACTGACTTGGTGGCAAATCCCTGCTCAGCTGTGTGACTTTGCACAGATCACATAACATCTCTGTGCCTCTGTTTTCCCTGCCAGGCACTGTCCTGATTACTTTACATAGACTGACTCACATACTCTGCACAGCCGCCCTATAAGGGCAGATCTAGCGTTATATTCATTTTCAGTCACGGAAGAGCCGCCCGCAGACACACAGCCGGTAAATGGGGCCCCAGCTGGCCAGGCTCCAGAGTCTTGCCCTTACCCACTCCTGCACCCTGCCTGAGTCCCATCTGCACAAATCGGGTAACCATACTTCCTAGCTCAGGGTGGCTGTGAGAATCAGGTGAGAGAATGTGTGACAGAGCCTGGTAACTGGCAAGTGCCCAGCGCGCAGGGGGCTGTGGTGGGCAAGAGCCACTGTGCTGGGTTCAGACAATCCCAGTTCTAATCCTGGCTCAACCACTTACTAGCTGTGTGACCTTGGGCAAGCTATTCATCTTCAGTGTGCCTCAGTTTCCTCAATTGTAACATTGTAATAGGTGAGGGAGCCCTGGTGGTGCAGTAGTTAAGTACTTGCTAACCAAAAAGTTGAGCAGTTCAAATCCACCAAGCTGCTCTTTGGACACCCTATTGGGCAGTTGTACTCTGTCCTATAGGGTTGCTATGAGTCAGGACGGACTTCACTGCAATGGGTTTTTTTTTTTGTTTAATGGGTGAGGATTACAGCATTTCATTGATCCTCAGAAGTAACTTTTAATAGCTCTGAAATCCTAGCTTAACTGACAACTTTTTTTTCCTTTACTGGCACAAACTCATGGTGGGTTTTAAAATTGATCATTTCTTAGATTCAGTGGAATAGTCAGTGAGGTGGAAAGCACCCAGCACTTCCCTGGCACACTGTGAGAGACATGCCAAAGCTTATCTGAGATGATTTCTGCCAGAAATCTGGGCAATGGGTTGGGATGAAGGCTCATTGTTCTGGGAGGAGAACTGGGTCTGAGGCCTGGGGCTGGGCCCTGGGTGTGGGCGACCAGTCCTCCCAGAAGCTCTCCACAAGCCCAGGCAAGTCCCGACAGCAGTGGCCCCGGCTCAGCGCTGCTGTCCCAGTGATCCGGTGACCCCAGTTCCGGGCCCGAGGCCCCGCCAGCGGCGGCATCTCCCGCTCCCGAGGTTGTCCGGGCCAGGGCGCTCCGGGCCAGGAAGGGAGGGGCGCCGCGGGTGACTCAGCCGCCGTGACTCGGCGGAACGGACGCCCGCTCTTTGCCTCCCCTGGCGACACGTGCTCGCGGCCCTTTGACAGGAAATGGGCACCTGCAGCCTCCCAGGTCCCCCCGGCCGGCAGCTGGTGCCGTTGTGGGCCGAGGGTCGGGGGCGCTGGCGTTGCCCGCTGCGTGAGGCCGCGCACGTCCCGAAGCCTCGCAGGCTCCAGTGGCCCCATCTGGGAAAGGGGTCAAGAGCTCGTCTCCAGAGACCACCAGGCTCCACTGCCAGGCAGTCACCGAAAAGGGGGAAGGCTCGGTGAAGAGTAGGGGGAAGGAAGGACAGACCAACCCACAGACACACAGTCACAGGCAGCGCCGAGTTCCTATTTTGTCCGGGCTGGTCAGCCGATGGAGCTCGCCTCCCTCCAGTCTCTGCCTCAGCCCAAACCCCGGAGCCCGGGCATCCAGCCCGAGATGGGGAGCCCCTCTGATCCTAGCGGGGCTACGACTAACCCAGGTGTCCCTGGTCCCCGTCGGAGAACTAGCGGTGGCAGGAGGAAGGAAAGAAGGGAACAGAGACAGAAGGGCCGACTGCGGACAGCGCAGGGAAGGGGGCAGGCGAGGAGCGGCGCTCTCAGGTCGTCCCGCGCGTCCCCCTGGGCCATGGAGGGAAGGTGGCCCCTGGACAGCGGAGAATGGGCAGAGTCCTCGGCCCGACTCTCGACCCTAGCCCCTCTACGGTCCCCGGCCCCCTGCCCTGGCCCTTCTCTGGTCCCCAGCCCGTTCCGGAGCGGACCCCGGCGTCCTAGGCGCTGTCCGACCCGTCTCACCTGCTGGGTGGCCGCCTGGGCCGCGGCGGGATTGTGCGTGGGGGCGCCGTACGCGCCGCCCGGCCCGGCGCTCGGTCCGGGCTCCCCGAAGTCTCGGAACATGCCCTGGGCTGCGACTCGCCGGCCGGCGGCTGCTCGGTCCTGACTCACGGTCTCTCTTCGCGGAGTCTTTACTTTTTATGAATGAACGCTCTCGGGCTGAACCACTCGGACTGCGCGGGGGTGCGTGGCGGCGGGTCCCCTGGGCTCCCCTCTCAAGACGCGCCGCCTTCGCCGTCCGCGCGAGTTTTGCTACTCCTCCTGCGGCCCGGTGACCCCTCTGCTCGGGGAAGGGGCGGACTCGCTTGCCCCCGCGCCCGCTGGCGAGGCTCCGTGCAGGGCTCCGCCCTCTGACGCAGCTGCCCATACATGGTGCAATTTCCTCGTCGCGCCCCAGGTAGAGCCGAGGGTTCCCCGGGCCTGACGCACCTGCGGCCGCCCCGCCCCGCTGCCGCCGCTCCATCAGCGGCCCGCGCGCCGTAGCCCGCATGCGGCCTCAGCCTCTGCAGCCGTAAAATGGCACCACATTATTACAGAGCTACCTGTCCGCGCGTGGGAGGGTGGAATGATGAATGGGAAAGCAGTTTGGAAGCTGGGAAATGGATTATAAATGTGATGGATTATTTCTATTATTATTAATTACTGGGTGTTTGTTTCCTGCCGGGAACCATGCTAAGGGCCACCAACGGCTTCACAGTCGTGGCAGGGGGCCCTTCCACTGGCATTGTTTCAAGGCATCATATATACTGAAAAATGAATAAATGACAAACAAGAGTTACAAACATGGGGGTCTGTTTTAAATGCTTACAAAGAACAAAGTAATGCTTTGAACGACCCACAAATACAATGCAATATCATTGTGCTGCTGACTGGAAATTGCAGGAGTTCGAACCAATTTTAAGGTCCCCAGGTGGGACAAACGGTTTGCAATCGATTACTAACCTAAAGTTTGGCAGTTCAAACCCACTCGACGGCATCAAAGAACAAAGGCCTGGAAGGCCGCTTTCGGAAAGATTACAGCCAAGAAAGCCCTATGGAGCACTTCTACACTGTAACACATGGGTCCCCACGAGCCGGAATCAACTCCACGGCAATGGGTTGGTTTGTTACGCGAGGTGGGATTCTGCAGTGGGACTCCAGTGGCCGGCTGTCTGATGAAAGCCATCTTCTTTAAATACTGCCAGTGCTACTTTGTGGACTGTGTGGTTACCAGCATTGTTTGGAGATTATCTCAAAGGTCTGAGTGAATCTGAGGCCAGGGTTCAATGTCAGCAACCAAAGACCAACGATCCTGGTAAGTAGGTACCACCATCATCCCCATTTTAAAGATGGGGAAGCCGAGGCTGAGAGAGGTTGAAATGATTGTCCAACGTCACTGGGTGAGGGGCTGGACCAGATTCCCAAACCAGGGCTGTGGGAGCTCTAAGCCCAGGCTCAGCCAAGATATCTCAAAGCCCTCACATCTTCACAGACACCTTTTCATACATGCAGAATGTCAGTGCTGACAGGACCATCCAAAAGCTTCTTCTCTGCCCCCCCCCCCATTTTATAGATAAGGAAACTGAGACCCAGAGAGAGAAGGAGCTGCCAATGTCACACAATTATAGAAAGAAGGCTGGCTCTCCTGCTTTTCCACCAGGGCCTCGATTTGATCAGCTCCAGTATTGCCCGTGGGAAGGAGGGCTCTAGGGAGGCAGGGCCCTGGGCTGCCTTTCTTGGAAACAAAGGTAAGGGGTCTGTGGGCTCACTCAGGGCTAGAGCCAGGAGACAAGCTTGACTCTGAGGTTCCAGTCCCAGAGCTGTCATTTTCTGTCTGTGTCACCTATCTTGCAGGGGTAGATTATCCGATAAGCAAGGTAAGCACAGGTTTATTTGCGCTTACTTACTAATCTGTAATGAACAATTTCACATTTTTTCACCACATCAAAGATTCTGTTTCTAGGTATGTCTGGCATCTGTCTGTCTCCCAACCCCACAGCACCTTCCTACAGAATCAAAGCCTCTTTTCAAATTTACAATCCTTGACAGGGGCGGATGACCCAGTAAGCAAGGTAAGCACAGGCTTACTTGTGCTTACTGATCTGTAGTGAACAGTGTCACATGGGAACAATTTCACAAGCGAAGTTGTTCACTACAGATCAGTAAGTAAGCACAAGTAAGCCTGTGCTTACCTTGTTTAGGGACTAATCCGCCCTGCTCCACTTGGAGTCTCAGTCCCAGTGGCAGTGACTGGACCTCCCGATGATCTCACGCGGCTGCTGAGAGGATCAAATGAGATCACAGACGTGAAAGTGCTTCGTAACTTGTAAAGTGCTGTGTACTCAGGAGGTGGTTGCCCAGTTGGTGACTCTCCCCTTGACCTTGTTTTATTTAAGGCTTGTCTTCCTCTGAAAGGAAAAGAAACCACAGCACTTTACCAGAATGAGAAACACAGGGGTGTGTGTGTGTGAGAGAGAGAGAGATTTTGTGACAGTGTGACCCATGGAAAGAACGTGCATGCTGGAGTCAGACAGTTCTGGGCCCTGGGTTGGATTCTGCTGGGTTGCTCACCAGCCGTGTGACCCAGATGAGGTACACAATCTCTTAGAGCCTCCTTTTCATCTGGATAATGGAGATATCAGGATAATTACATCTCAGGGTTGTTGGGGGGTGTTGTTGTTGTTGTTAGGTACCGTCAAGTCGGTTCCAACTCACAGCGATCCCATGTATAACAGAATGAAACACTGCTCGGTCCTGCGCCATCCTCACAATCATTATGCTTGAGCTCACTGTTGCAGCCACTGTGTCAGTCCATCTCGTTGAGGGTCTTCCTCTTTTTCGCTGACCCTCTACTTTACAAAGCATGATGTCCTTCTCCAGGGACTGATCCCTCCTGATAATATGTCCAAAGTATGAGACGTAATCTCGCCATCCTTGCTTCTACGGAACATTCTGGATGTACTTCTTTCGAGACAGAATGGTTTGTTCTTTTCGCAGTCCATGGTATGTTCAATATTCTTTGCCGGCACCACAGTTCAGAGGCTTCAATTCTTCGGTCTTCCTTAAGCATCGTCCATCTTTCGCATGCATATGGGTGAATGGGGGTAGAAGTAAAATAATGTCACGTGCTTAGCGCAGCACCAGGCACATGGTAAGAATTTGATAAATAGTTGTTGTTGTTGGGTGCCGTTGAGTCAATTCTAACTCCTAGTGACCCCACGTGACAGAATAGAACTGCCCCATAGGATTTTCTTGGCTGTAAATCTTTACGGGAGTGGATTGCCAGGTCTTTCTCCTGTGGAGCCACTGATGGCTTTGAGTCACCAACCTTTCTGGTTAGTAGCCGAGCACTTAACCATCACGCCAAGCCAGCAGGGCTTCTTTAATGAATAGTATCGGAAATAAATACACGTTAATAAAAAGCCTCAGGTTGAGAACCCTTGGAACTCTGACCACATAAGGAGGCACGCAGCCTGCGTGCACACGCACACACGTGTGTGCGCACACATCCACAGGAATAGCTGACCTCCCTGGCCAAACTCAAGTAGGTCGGGTCAGGGGTGACACAGGTGGCCAGGTGGTGGCACGTTTGAGGCCTGACACAGGTCAACTTTGATTGCATCCACCCTCCTGCCCCAGAAGACCATCCCTGCCCCCTCCCCAAGCAGCCTGTGTAGTTGACAGAGCAGGGGCTCAGCCCCCCACTCCTGACTTGGAGCAAGTCTTTTGGGCCCTCTGGGTTTCAGTTTCCCGGTCTTTATTTAAACAGGGAGTGTGTGTGTGTCTGTGTAAAGGAACCCTGGTAGCGTAGTGTTAAGTGCTTGGCTGCTAACCAAAAGGTCAGCGGTTTGAACCCACCAGCTGCTCCGCGGGAGAAAGATGTGACAGTACTTTAGTAAAGATGGCAGCCTTGGAAACCCTATGGGGCAGTTCTGCTCTGACCAGCAGGGTTGCTATGAGTCGGACTTGACGGCAGTGGGGCTTTTGTTATCCTGGTGTGTGTGTGACTACGTGACCCTGGAAGTCCCTTTCTGCTCTAACCGTCAGCCGAGCCACAAGGAAGTCCTTACAGAAGCAGCACATTCCAAGCTCCTCAGTCACCAACTCCCACCTCGTGGCTGCAGAAACGTTCCCGGGCCCTGACCTCACTAGCTCCCACCCAGGGAGGCCAGGAGAGAACTCCAGGGGGCACGGGGGCTGCTGGGAGTCTGGGGTGGGGGAAACCTGAGAGACCCTGGCCATGCCCTTTGGCCACTGTGTGAGCCTGGCCCCGTCTCTAACCCTCTCTGAGCCCCGGAAGCCCCACCCCTTAGGGTTGCAGGGAGACAAAAGGGGGTGATGGATGAGTGCGCTTGTGCTTGCCACGCAGTAGGTGCTCAATCACTGCTGCTGGAGGTCGTGTTTGTTTTTTTCAGTTCCCATACGCTTATCTTTTGTAATTGAAATATACATACAGTAAAGTGCAATCACCACAGTGTTCAACTCAATGACTTTTTTACATATGTGTAAACTCCTGTAGCTACAAGATCAAGATCAACATTTCCAGCAGCTCGGAAGCTCTCTTATCTCCATTCCCTGTCACTACCCCCAACTTCAGTTAACCACTATTATGACTTCTATCACCATAGATTAGTTTTACCTGCTCTTGAACTTCATATAAATGGAACCATATGGCGTGTACTTTTTTTTACCTCTGGCTTCCTTCACTCAACATGTCTGCAGGATTCATCCACGTTGCTGGGTGAACCTGTAGTCTAGTCTTTTCTATTGCTGCGTAGAATTCCATTGCATGAATAGTCCACGATCAGTCTCTCCATTCATCCGCTGATGACTATGAGGCCCTTCTGGTTTGGGACTATTTTGAATAAGGCTGCTGTGAACGTTCTTGATGTGTCCTTTGGTGGCCATTTGCACTCATTTCTCTTGGATATATGCCCAGGGGTGGAATTGCTGGGTCATAGGGTAGGTGTATGTCTGGTTTTAGTTGATTCTGCTCAACTGTTGCCCGAAGTGGTTATACTGTTTTCCATTCCACCAGCAGTGGGTAAGGGTTCGAGTTGCTCCACATCTGGTGTTGACATTTCAATTCACTGTAACGAACATTTATTCTCCTTGATCCTGGCCCTAT